TCTCCTCTCACTCCCCCTCTCCTCCTCTCTCCTTCTTCGTCTCTGTCTCTCTCTCTATCCTACCGCGGCGCTCTCTCTTTGCTTCTTCCGCTCGCTCTCTCTCTCTCTTCTGTCTCTCGTTCTCTTCGCTCCGCCGCGGCTGCTCTCCTCTGCCTCTCGCTCTGTCTCCCCCTCTCTGCTCTTTCTCTCTTCCCCTCTATCCCCCCTCTTCTCTCTCTCCTCTTCTCTCTCTCTCTCTCTCTCTCTTCTCTCTCTGCTCTCTCGCGTTCTTTCTCTCTCTCACTCTCTCCCTCTCTCTCTCTCTCTCCTTCCTCCTCTCTCTCATCTCTCTCTCGTCTCTGCTCTCTCTTCCTCTTCCCCTCTCTCTCCCTGCCTCCCCATCTCCCTCCCCCTCTCTCTCTCTCTCTTCTCGTCTCCCTCGCTCTCGCTCTCCTCGCTCCCGCGCGCTCTCTCTCGCTCACGCTATGTCTCCCCCTCTCTCCCCCTCTCCCTCCCTCCCCCTCTCTCTCTATCTCTCTCGCTCCTTCGCTCTGGCTCTCTCGCACCCGCGCGCTCTCTCTCGCTCTCGCTCTGTCTCCCCCTCTCTCCCCCTCTCCCTCCCCCGCTCTCTCTCATCACAGTCGCATCGTAGCGTTGAGTAAAGAATGCACCGGCAGACACGTGTGCCACTTAATTGGATGACTTTTAAAGTTTACATTTGGACCACGGTGGAGAACCTGTATTCGATTTTGTTAGCCGTACGTGTCCTCGCCTAGATTGCTATTACTACACCTGACTTAAGGGGTTGGAACCTACGCCTCATTACCATTTGCATTTCCGTGTTTTTCTTACCGTAAATTCTGCGAGCAATACGTGGAGGTGGCCCCGGGCAACATATACATACGTCTGCCCCTGTTTCTCGCAAGAGAACACCACATCCATTCAGGATATTTACATCTTCTAAATAGAAGTTAGAACTACATCGTCTCTGTAAGCATAATTACAACTTATTCATGCTGGAAAACATTGCCAAGTTCAGCAGATGACTTTGGTGCGCAGTCCTAATCTACCACAGTTGTTCTGGCTGCTATAGCAACCAGGTTCCTTTAGTACACAGAAAGCAAGTCAAGCCGGGTGATACTTTTTGAATGTGGTAGCGACAACATGAGCTAAACCCTAGTTTTAAAACGCACACCTTATATAAATAACTATGCTTAAATCCGAAAAAAGACTTACATAGCTGGGCCTAAATCATTATCCAACACGCATTTCATATTATCTTAAACATCTATAACATCAAAAAAGACTTATCAATCTAAGTTCAATTTTAAGATAATGAGTGTCATAGTTATTCACATTTCCTTAAAATGTGCCTTACAGAGCTCGTGTGACACTAAAGTTAGCCGAGAATAAGACTAATCTGAAACTAAGGCGAAGGTTGATTCCACACATACCACGAACAATATTTAAAAATACGTATAACAATATATATTTTCATAGGCTTTGTGATCTGTAGCATGAGCACGTACAAATAACCATATATGTGCTCTTCCGCAAGATCTATAGTTGGCCTTAAACTTCCATACTGTCACCGCTTATATACTTGACAATAAAATATGTTCACTGCACTACAAATAATTCCTAATGCCTAGCTGCCATGAAGCATGTTGCAACCCTCAAAGTTGCTGTGTTACTACTTACTAGTACAGCTAATCCTACTTCATTCAATATTTTCGAATGATGTAGATTATTCCATCGCAACCACACGGTTCATTAAACAAATAAATTGTTCAAGGACTGATTAAATTGCAATAACAGCAATAACGTGAAATGTAATTACATCTTTAACAGGCCACCTCTCCACGGAACGTCGGGCACTGCACTGTACGCACCGATAAACACACGGTCCGTTGGTATAAAAGTATGTAACACACGACGCGCCCGCACACACCCCGCTTCACGCACACATACACGCGCACTGCGCCAACACGCACAAGCACACACTGTCGCGTCACGACAACACACAGACCACGCCTCCACACCGCAGCTCCGCAACACACACACACACGGCGCGCGCCGCACGCACCACAGTACACACACGCGCGCGCGCGCACACACACACACACGCACGCACGCACACACACACACGCGCGCGCGCACGCACCACATACACACACGCGCGCGCGCGCACACACACACACACGCACGCACGCACACACACACACGCGCGCGCGCGCGCGCGGGCGCGGGCGCACGAACTCACACTCACACTTACAGTCTCAGCAAGGTGTGAAAAATTAGGATAATTAAACATTAATGGGGATTTTAACTGTTACATAATTTATGAAAATGAGAAAAACGCTATGGTAAAGGTTTGGTGGAACTTATCAGGAGCTTGGCCTCACAGAGTGTAGCTGCAACCTAGTACTATAACCGCAGTAGGAGATCAATTGGAGTCGCATATGCTCTCTACACACTCACTATATCTTGTTACCTTCACATAACACATACCATGTATTTGCAGGGTGCATTTGTAACATGATAAATGTGGCAATGTAACTAACTAAGTAAGTAATTAACTAACTAACTAACTAACTAACTAAACAGCTAATTATATAACTAACTACCAAACTAGCTAACTTACTTACTAATTCATTAACAAATTCATTAACTAACTACAAGTTATAACAGAACAAACGTGTAAATACCTTTCACAGATTTAGCTTTGATGTTGCAGAATTTCGGTCCTGGCAGTAGCTTCATGACGTCATCTAACCCATCGAATCCCTCCTTTGCGAGTATCTAGATCGTCAGAACAACATGTAAATAATTTATATGCGCGTATTTATTGCATAGTTGTGCTGCTTCGTGTGCGTCAGTACGTGCTTGTGTTCCAGTATAAGTGCTTGTGTTTAAGTAAGAATAATGACTGAGGAATAGTGCTGAATAATTATTGATCCAGTTACCTGACTAGCTATATTGTAGACGCGCAATTTCTCAAAGCTATCTCGTGTGCTTCGTATACAAGCCGACATTTTGCGATTCATACTCTTCGCACTGATATTATTTTCAAAAAAGTACGAGAGTTTCCCACTTAGCATTATATCAGGGGTGAATAATAATTACCATATAAAAGTAGAAAAGTTTAGCTAGAGAAATCTCATCTAAAGGCCGCCGCACACCTACATCGCTTCATCGCTTCATCGCTTCATCGTTTGTAAAATCGGCTCATCGGCTCATCGGTTCATCGGCTCATCGGCTCATCGGTTCAAAATCAAACATGTTTGATTTGGAACGATCACCCGATAAAAATAAAATCGTCTACAAATGAACGCGCACACCTACCCGATATCGGCCGATTTCTATCGGGCCGATCAAATCGCGTGAAAAATCAGCTGGTGTGCGGCGGCCTTTATTAAAGATATCTTAACATATTTTATTGAATATATGAACACTAGGTTCGCATCGTACCTTCTCTACAAGTCTGCATGTGATTGGTGTGAATGCTCCACTAAACACGTATGACATGTCCGTTGCATTCTTAAGGTCCACTTCCTCTATTTTTGGTATCTGGAAATTTAGCACGTTATATAGGTCATGCGTATTGTTCTTACTTATTACCATTTTTGTATTACTAATATTCATTATCGAGTGTATGTTGCTTCTTTATTAATTTCCTGTGCAATCAAGTTCAATATGCAGGGCAAACATCATCATATTGTTGCGCTGCAATGTAATCAGGGGCGTAAATCCGTACTTCGTAGCGTTGATAAAGAATTGCACCGCAGACACGTGTGCACTAATTGGATGATTTTACAATTTACCATTTGGGGACGGGAGAATGTATTCGATTTGTAGCCGTACGTGTCTCGCTAGATTGTATACTACACCTGACTTAAGGGGTTGACCTACAGCTATTACCATTGATTTTCCTTGTTTTTTTACGTAAATTCTGCGAGCAATACGTGGAGGGGCCCCGGCAAATATAATACGCTCCGTGTTTCTCGCAAGAGAGAACACAATCATTCGGATTTTACATTCTAATAGAAGTTAGACTAATTCTCTGTAAGCATATTAAATTATTCATGCTGAAAACATTGCCAAGTTCAGCAGATGATGGTTGCGCAGCCAATCACCACAGTTGTTCTGGTGCTATAGCCACCAGGTTCCTTAGATTACACAGAAAGCAAGCATGCCGGTATACTTTTAATGTGTAGGACAACATGAGCTAACCTAGTTTAAAAACGCACACCTTATATAAATAATATCTTAATCCGAAAAAAGCTACATGCTGGTAAATCATTATCCAACACTCATTTCATATTATTTAAACATTATAACATCAAAAAGACTTATCAATCTAAGTTCAATTTTAAGATAATGAGTGTCATATATCACATTTCTTAAAATGTGCTACAGAGTCTGTGACACTAAAGTTAGGAGAATAAACTAATTGAAACCTAAGGCAAGGTTGATTAACACATAACGAACAATATTTTAAAATATATAACAATATATTTTTCATACTTTGTGATTGTACATAGCACTACAAATAACCATATATGTGCTTGAAAATTATAGTTGGCTAAACTTATACTGTACTTATATACTTACAATAAAATATGTTACTGCACTACAAATAATTCCTAATCCTAGTATGAACATGTTGCAACCCTCAAGTTGCTGTGTTACTACTTACTAGTACAAGCTAATCCTACTTCATTCAATATTTTCATGAGTAGATTATTCCATCGCAACACACGTCATAACAAATAAATGTTCAAGACTGTTAAATGCAATAACAGCAATAACGTGAAATGTAATAACATATTTAACAGGCCACCTCTCCACGGACTCGGCACTGCACGTACGCACCCATAAACACACGGCCGTGTAAAAGTATGTAACACACACGCACCACACCGCGCTCACGCACACATACACGCGCACGCGCGCACACGCACACGCACCACACTGCGCTCACGCACACACACACACACGCTCCACACCGCGCTCACGCACACACACACACACGGCGCTGCCTCAGGGGCTCCTGCGCACAGCGCAACCACTACAACCACGCGCGCGCGCGCATCACACACACACACGGCAGCGCCCGCACACACACAGGCACCGCGTCGAGCGACGCGGCGGGCTCAGGGGCAAACAGCACTACGGGCGGGGGGCGAAGCGGCGCTCTGGAGGTGGGGGCGGCAGGCCAGGGGAGGAGGTCATTCGACTACGGCGGGCGGGGCGCGGGGGTCACACACACACACCGGCTCCTAGGGTCGCGGCACGGCAGGGCAGCCGCACTGGATGTCGGCGTGCGGTGGCGGCGCCTGTGCGCGCGGGGTGGGCCGGGCGGGCGTTAGGAGCGAGAGTCGTCGGGGGAGGGACTCACCTTACTAGTCGGTCGGTAGCTAGGAGGCGGGCGAGTGGGGGTGTGTGGTGAGAAAGATTAGGGTGGATAAGTTAAGGACGATTAATGGGTGGATGTGTGTAGACTGGTTAGATATTTATGAGAAGATGGAGCGGAAGGAAACGCCGGGTATGTAAGGGTTGGTGGGAACTTAATCAGGCAGGCTTGGAGGCGCAAGTGTAGCTGCACCTGGGTACGGTATACCGCGGTGAGGTAGTAGTCATATTAGGGGAGGTCTGACATCACTGTCTATCAACTCACTTATATTGCTTGTACGCTTCGAATAACACATACGCATGTAATTTGCAGGGTGCATTTGTTAACCGATGATAAGGAGACTGTGGGCAAGGGTAAACTTAGACTAAGTAGCATAATTGGAGAGCTAACGTATCTAACTAGATAACTAAAACAGCTAATTAAGTAATAACTACCGGAAGATCTAGTAACTTTAGGTTACTAGGATCGTCATAAGCAAGTCAGGGTTAAGCTAATTCAGAGTGTATAAGGCAGAACAAAAGCGTTGTGATATACGCTTTCACGATTTAGCTTGTTGGTTGGTGGCAGAATATTCGGGTGGCCTTCAGGGGCGGAGTGCTGCATGAGGGCGGTCATCAAGACCCATCGGCGAAACTCGGGTCCTTTGCGAGTATCTAGATCGTTCGAGGAAAACAGTGGTAAATAATTTATTAGGGGCGCGCTGACTTTGGTGCGTATTTATGATGCATATGTTGTGGCTGCTTTGCGTGTGCGTCAGTAAGCGTGTCGGGTGCTGTCTCCAAGTGAAGTGCTGTTGGCTGTATGTAAGAATGAATGGAGCTGGGAGAATGTGCGAATAATTATTTGATCCAGTTACCTGACTAGCTCGTATACTTGTAGAAGAGCCGCGAGATTCTCGAGAAGGCTATTCTCGCTGACCTGCTTGGTCCGTTACAGCTTGGACATTTTACCGAGTCATACTCTTCCGCCAGCTGATATTATTTTCAAAAAAGGTACGAGAGTTTCCCACTTTCAGGCCATCGTAATATCAGGGGGGTGTAATAATTAGCAGTATTAAAGTATAAGATAGTGTTAGCTAGAGAGGAAGTTGCTCGATCGAGAAGGCCGCCGCGCACACCTACATCGCTTCGCGCGGCTTCATCGCATTGCATCGTTTTGTTAAATCGGAGACCACTGGGACATCATCGGATATACGGAACATTCAACAAAAATCAAACAGTGTTTGAATTTGCCGAAAAAAGAATCACACCCAGATAAAAATCTAAATCTACACTGAAAACGCGCACACCCTACGCGATTATTCGGCAGATCAGTCGGGGGCCGTATGCAAATCGCGCCAGTGAAAAGATCAGCTAGGGTGGCGGCAGTGGGGCCTTTATTAAAGATATACTCTAGGAGATTGTTATGAATATACTGAACACTACGGTTCGATCGTACCTTCTCTACAAGTTGCATGTGATTGGCGTGTGATGCTCGACTAAAGACGTCATGAATGTCCGTTGCATCATTCTTTTAAGTTCTACTGCTCTTCTATTTTGTGGTAGTATCTAGGACAATTTTAGACACGTTTATTATAGCTCGATGCGCTATGTTGCTTACTTATTACCAAATTCTGTGTGATGATTCTATATTCATTAGTCGAGTGTTATGTTGTCCTTCTTTATTAAATTCGTCTGTGGCATCTCAAGGTGTCAGAATTGTGACAGGCGCAAAATCATCATATGGTTGCGCGGTGCAATGTAATGCAAGCGGGGCGTATGAATCGGTGACGAGGAGCTGAGGCGGGCGGGGAGATGAATCAGGCGCGAGAGGGGGGGGTCTGGCGGGACCTCCGCGGGCCAAAGATTTGTTTGAAATTTAGTGACCCCCTCAGCATCGGTGTTTCTGCTGGCCGAGAGGGGGGGGCGGGGGGTCGGACCCCCCATGGACCCATCCGCCCCGCATGGTGGACACGCCCCTGACAGTTAATGCAAATGCATATTGGGTTGCCCATCGTACATACCAATCTATCATAATAAGATAGGTACTCTAGGGCTACGGGTTCAAGTGGGGGACACGGGAGGAAGGAGTTTTTTTTTTGGATCTCAGGGGGGGATATTTGTACAGGCCATCCCCCCCTCCTTCAAGAGCGGGGAAGATGCATCCCCCCATCCCCCCCGGGATTTACGCCCATGAATGTAATCAAGCCTTATTTTAAATTCTGAGTCATTTGGTGACCTTAATTGTACGATGAGTTTTTTCTGACGAGGCAATCAGTTAACGAATCACGTATTTTTCCATAATTCTGAGACATTTAGCGATGCTAGTCGCAAAATAATTTTTTTCTGACGAGGCAATCAGTTTATACATCATTAACAGTAACTTGTCTTGATCAGTCTTGTTTTAACTAAAACGAGGTACTACACCGAAGAAAACGCTTTCATGAGAATTTTTATTATTATTTTGGAGAAAAAAAATTCGATTGACTGTGCACTATTTATATACGCATAGAAATCTATGTTACCAGGTTTAACTTGCGACAGACTTGGCTGTAATTTGAGGTGGTGCGAGGTATCGCACTGGCTACAGTTGTGGCTACCTTGGCACCCGCAGCCGTCATTTTGCCAGTTTTAATCATACTGTCCACTGTAACAAATACAGACTCATTACTGTCACCCAGCCCAAAATGAAACGTAATCGCGATTTGTTAAAAATAGTTCAACTGATTAGGGTGTCTGTCAAATACTAATCAATAATCAATACTTCAGCTGAAGAAGCTGAAAAATAATCACAATGTTATTAGCAACAGGTTTTGCTTACATATCTATACAATTTATAGGTATAATAATAATAATTATATATTATTATATATTATAGGTATAACCAAGCTAGGCCTTGGGAATAACGATACTAAAATACGATACTATATAATATTATATATATCTGATATATATGTTATAATTTCATGTAATATTCACGAAGAGTATATGACGAAATTATACGTAGAAACCAAGGATTAGTAATAAGAGAATGATGCACACCTGTTTTGCTCGGCTCTTGTTCAGTCAACAGCCCAAGTTTCTTCAGATTAAGGAACGTTAACATATGTTCGAAACCATGGCTCTGAAAGAAGGAAAGAACACACGTGAATCATACCAAAATGATGCCAGCTAATCTGCTTCACTTCTGTTGACTGCATGCCCATTCAGGCAGATTAATACAACGTCCGGTACACAACTACTATTGACATAGAAGCACGGTAATACGTACATCCAGCGTAATACTCGACAGCTAATGATATTGGTTGTGGATAGGACACACCCTTCCGATTCATTCTCGCCCTCTATGCCAGCCTTTCTCACATATCATGCTACTCATGCACGCGTTTTCACATCATTAAATATCAGTCGCGGTCCTATATTCAAACACTGCACGCGTGTACACAGATATAGAGATACCCCCATTTAAATATTAACGCAATTGCAAAAATCATTAGATCCCCATGTTCTGTGAATAACACGATTCTTCCTGTAAGTGTGACGCCTGGCGGTTACGTTGGATGCAACCACAGACAGCATGCTGCAAAAAATCTTTAGACTGTCCACTATTGGTCTCTTCCACACTTATCTGCAGCTTGGCAATTGCATATCACTACCATCATTTCATTAAACATAGATTGCGAGAAGGGGAGAAGGAATCACTCTAACTAGCATGATACAGGGACACGCGTGTGATGGCATGTACAATCAGTGATCATTTCCACAATTATAATCCTGACATCTGCTTTTGAATAATATTCGTTTGACACTTCTGACAATTTCAGAGGGATAATGAGAAGGAATATTACACAGCGACTTACAAGCCTAGCACAGACCTGCGACTTTTTCATGCAACTCGACAGCGATTCTAGAATTGCTGTAAAAATTGCTGTGAAATCACTAAGTCTGCGGGAACGTGCAACTGCAACCCGTAGCGATTCTGGTCGCTTGCGACGAGTTGCAAGAAATCAACTTGTTTTGATTTTGAGATGACTCGTCGCTCCCAATCATCCCAGATTGCTCTAGAATTGCTTCGAAATCGTATGTGTGCGCACACGCAGTGACACATCGACTGATCGCTTGCGAATGCAGGTTGCAGCGACGAGCAACCAAAAATCGCAGGTCTGCGCTCGGCTTAAAATTGTCAGTAAAGGGAGGCTTATGTCGGGCTTGCAAGCCGACTCGACTGGAAGCAACTGGCTGCAATTTACTGCAACTCCAGTGCTTAGGTCGGTCGACTGCGACGCGACTGCCTGCGACTGGCCGCCACTAGTTGCTAGGAATAGAACAGTGGGCAACTGGACGCAACTAGTCGCTGCTGATCGCTTCCAGTTGCTCGAAATCCAGTTGCTTCCAGTCGAGTCGGCTCGCAAGCACGACATAAGCCCCCCTTACGAATTAGTTAATAATGCTCCAATTTTTATTTTTGTGCAAGCAATACCAAACCTTTACAAAACCTTATACAACTACGTTATAACGAGTAGGTTTTTATATTTCTGACATATATATGCTATGTTTATACGCACAGAACATAACTTTGCATGTAAACTATATCACACATCAGGCCTCGACGCTTATTTTCAGATTTGGTTGTCCTGTCGGGCAACAAGAAGCAATTTTTACTTGTCCGAATTTTGATTTTACTTGTCCAAAATTTACTTGTGCAATCTATGAGCCGTTAATGTCCTCTTTTGGTTCAGTGCATATCATATTATCAGGAGTGTATAATATAGAGATCTATATTATATAAATATATA